AGGAGCAGGAAGCCTTCCTGCTCCTATGATGCTGCTTGGCCTGCTGTGTTCATCCAGCTCTACACCTTCTTATCTCAGATTCTCCAGCATCTGCAGTTCCTACTATCTCGTTAATCACTGGTTTGGCCACTTAATACATATATTAATTTTGAGTCTTTTGAAGAAAGCTGGCAAAAGTTTCTCTCTTGTTCTAGATAACACAAGTAACAAAGAGAAACAGAATTACCATTTTGGTGATCCTATAAGACATTTATACTTTTATACAACCCATGTGTAATGGGACTCAATTCCCACTGCATTCCTGTCATCAAATTCACTACACCACTTCTTGATGAAACAAAAAATAAGGGACATAGCTAGAGAGTGAGGTGTCCTTTTAGGACAGTGTTGAGAGAATTCTTTTCTCTCAGAGTCATAAGAAGATGGAATTCTTCTCCCATAAGGTAGTGGAGACTGGGATGTTATCCAACCCTGAATTTGATAAATTTTTGATAGACAAGGGAGATAAGGGTTACGAGAAGTGCAAACAGGAAAGTGGGGCTGAGACCACCACCAGATCAGCCATGATATTATTAAATCGTGTAGAATTGAACTGCCAAATGGCATACTCCTCTTAAGTATCTATGTAAGGGAAATGCAGTATAAACATAAGGAATGTTTGCTACAATTGTGTAACATGTTGGTGAGACTACATCTAAAGGACCATGTACAGTTTTGTTGGTGTTCCTTGAGAAAAGATACAAGTGCAAAGCAGGTTCACTTGACTGATTGCAGGAAGGAGGGGGATTAATTTTATGAGGAAAGGTTGGACAAGTTTGGGTCTGTTTCAGTTTTGAAGATGAGAGATAATTTTATTGGAACATGAGATCCTGTGGGGTTTTGATGGAGGAGGGATTAGTTGTTACCCCTTGTGATGGAGGTCAGGGCAGGGGATCATAGTTTAAAAATAAGGAGTCTCCCATTTAAGATGGATGTAAGGAAGGAAAAATTACTTTCCGTTGGAGGGTCATTGGTAAGTAGAATTCATTTCCCCAGAGAGTAGCAGGAGCTGGATCATTGAATAAATTCTTGATTGGCAAGGGCGCAAGGCATATGGAAAAATTCGAGTGCACAATTAGATTAGTGGTGACTTTCTCAGATGGCAGAGTGGAATCCAGTAGCCAAATAGCCTGCTCCTCTCAACCTTGTGTAACTCAAAGGTCTACAATCCTTGCAGCATAGATATAGATATAGATAATTAGCAACTCTTTTTGTTTCTCAATATCTACCTGCGTTGCAACTCAAAAAAAATGACACGAGTGCACAGTCCACATTTCCAAGATGAATCTGTTACCAGTTTTTCTGACTCTGCACATCTCTGAACTCACGCCCAGCACAACACTGGCTCTCTTTGGAGAGAGAATCGGTACAGCAAACCACATCCTGGGGCGAGTCAGTGCATGAGTGCTACCTGTAACCTGTTGAGAGTCAGTGATACAACTGTGAGGTAGTGCAGTGCTTAGGACATGAATATTTGGGCCTGGGTGTCAGTGTTCCCCCAGTGGGATAGAGGACAAAGAGCAATGCAGCACAGATACAGACCTTCGGTCCACCAAGCCTGTGCCAACACATAGTACCTTCCTAAACTCAAAATCTTTTGCCTCTATCCAGTCTGTATCCCTCTACTCTCTGCCTATTCGTGCATCTGTCAAGATCCTCTTAAATGTTGCTGCTTCCGCAGCCTCTGGCAGCGTGTTCCAGGCTCTTAGCACCCATATGCACGTGATTGTAAAATGGATGGATGGGTAGGTACTGGAAGGTTTCTGTTCATATCATTTCAAATGAGGCTTCGCATTATTTTTTCTGTTACATATTTTAACTGTGCTTCACTTTATCTTGCTGATTGCCTCCCCAAAATTTGCAATGGTCCAGTGGTATTATCATTGGACTGCTAATCCAGAGACCCAGGTAATGTTCTGGGCACATGGGTTTGAACCCCACCATGGCAAATGATTGGAATTTGAATTCAACAAAATTGTACAATTAAGAGTCTAACGATAACCACGAATCCATTGTCAATTGTCAGAAAAAACCTATTTGCTTCACTCATGTCCTTAAGGAAACTGCCATCCTTAGCTGGTATGGCCGACGTGTAACTCCAGATCCACAGCAATGTTGTCAACTCTAAACTCCACTTAGGGCAATTAGGAATGGGCAATAAATGTTGGTCCAGCCAGCGACGCCTGCATCCCATGAATGAATTAAAAAAGTCCGCTGAATTTACAGTTGTTGTCTTTTCCTCTTCATAGTGATTTGGGGACCTTTATTGGGCTTGGCACAGTGACAGGATCTGTGGCTATCTACATTGCATTTTCACTCCAGGTAATGTCACAAATTTCTGTCTTCCTGTCTGCAGTATATTACTTTTATTTTTGTCAAAATCTATGCCCTGGGTTGATCAGTATCTCCATTTTTTTAGTGCTTCATGAGATGTGGTTGTCATTAGCTGTTGCTCACCCTAATTGCCCTGGAGATGTTGCTGCCTTGAACTGCTGCAGTCAAAACAGCACAGGGACACCACAATGCTGTTAGGAAAGTAATTCCAGGATTTTGTTCCGGCAATAGTGAAGGAAAGGTGATATAGTTCCAAGTCAGATGATGTGGAGCTTGGCTCCTCCACAATGTGTCACCATTCTCCAGACCAAACATGGGCGGCAAGGTGGCTCAGTGGTTAGCACTGCTGCCTTACAGCACCTTGGACCCAGGTTCGATTCTACTCTCGGGCGACTGTCTTTGTGGAATTTGCACATTCTCCCCGTGTCTGCATGGGTTTCCTCCACGGGCTCTGGTTTCCTCCCACAGACCAAAGATGTGCAGGCTAGGTGGATTGGCCATGCTAAATTGCCCGTAGTGTCCAGGGATATATAGATTAAGTGGGTTATAGGGGGATGGGTCTGGGTGGGATGCTCTGATGGTCAATGTGGACTTGTTGGGCCGAAGGGCACTGCAGGGTATCTCTATGATCAATCAGCTACTTATTGCTGATTGAATCTCCACTGGGACAAACCACATGGCTGCAACTCATCTGCTTACTCGGCTGTTCCTCCCCACTCCCTGCCACTGCTTGAACAAATATCAGTGTAAACAGCAGTTGTAATGAATGTCAGAAAACTTGCTTTTAAACAGCGCAGAAATCTTTTCCATAATCTTTGTTTTTTTAAAACTCTCATTTTCCCATGTCAGTCTACAGTTAATACCAGAGCAAAGTAAAAATGTGCTGTCTATTACATACCTCCACCCTTTAAGAAAAATAAGCCAGCATGCAAGTTCATTGGGTAATGGAAAGGCAAATGAATGTGGGCCTTTACTTCAAAGGGAATACAGTACAAAAATAGGGAGGTTTTACTGCAAGTATACAAGGCACAGTCAGACCAAGATGAGATACTGTGACCAGGTTGTGACCCCTTATCTAAAGAAAGATATATTGGCATTGGAGACAGTCCAGAGAGAGTTCACTAGGTTGATCCCAAATGTGAAGGGACTGTCTTATGAGGAGAAGTTTGTTTTGGCTGGCCCTGTACTCGTGGAGTTTAGAAGCGACCTTATTGAAAGAATATTCTGTGGACCCGTGTTCGAATCCTGCCACAACAGATGGTGGAATTTGAATTCAATAAATATCTGGAATTTGGGGCCTAATGATGACCATGAATCCAGTGTCGATTGTCAGGAAAAACCCATCTGGTTCACTAATGTCCTTTAGGGAAGGAAACTGCCATCCTTGCCTGGTCTGGCCTACCCTACGTGTAACTCCAGACCTACAGCAATGCGGTTGACTCTCAACTGCCCTCTGGGCAATTAGGGATGGGCAATAAATGCTGCCTAGGCAGCGATGCCCTCATCTCCTGAACGATTTAAGAAAAAAAAATAAAGAAGCAATGTCATACAAGTCGACAGCATAGAAAAAGGCACTTCGGTCCAATGTGTCGACACCAGTCAAAAATAACCATCTAACTATTCTAAAGCCATTTTCCAATACTTGGTCCATAGTCTTGTATGGCTTGACATCTTAAGTGCACAAATTTTTTAATGCCATGAGGGTTTCTGCCTCTACCACCCTTGCAGGCAGGGAATTCCAGATTCCAACAGCCTGTAGGTGTTAACGTTTTTCCTTATTCCCTAAACTAGAACTAGAATTAGCCTTTATTGTCACATACATTCAATGAGTATAGTGAAAAGTTTATATGTCACCACTTACAGTGCCATCTTAGGTACAAAGGTACAGCTTCTTTAGTTACAAGATGTTAGACAATAGGGAAATAAAATGAAATGTCCAACATTGCAGAAATAAAAGTTCAGATCAACAGACCATGCTGGCACCCAGCTTCCAACCCCCACTGGGCCCTGACTCCATACCGCACTGGGCCTCACCTCAAGGATGATGAGACTGGGAGATCGCTTCAGACCGCCACACCGGGCTGAGAGAATGCCATGCTAGGAGCTGCTGCACCAGGCCTGAAGGTCACCACGTCACAACAGAAGGCCGCTACACCAGGCCCAGGAGGTCACTAGGCCACTCCGGGAGGCCACTGCACCAGGCTAAGAGTCACCGGAGGCTGGAAATCATTGCTAGAGGTTGGGAGAAAAGAAGGAAAAAATACTGAAGAAAAGAGAAGAAGGAGGACAAGTGGAGTGGATGAGCTCCAGCTGGAGCGTCCTACTCCACTGCCATCTTGGGCCCAATGCCCCTGGTCGTTGATCCCTCCAAGAGGAAAAGTTTCTTCCTATCTGCCCTATCTATGCCCCCTCATAATTCTATACATCTCAATCATGTCCACATTCTGTCTACTCTGCTCTAAAGAAAACAATCTGTCTAATCTCTCTACATGACCTGAAACTCTGCAGCCCAGGCAATTTCCTGGTAAAATCTCGTCTACGCCCTCTCCAGTGCTATCACGTCCCTTCCACACTTACAAACAACACTCTAGCTGTAGCCTAACCAGCGTTTTATACAGTTCCAGTATAACCTCCCTGCTCTTAAATTCTGTACCTCAGCCAATAAAGGCAAGTGTCCGATAACCATCTATCCTCATAACTTAAGGGACAAATGTGCATGCACACCAAGGCCCTCTGATTCTCAGTGCTTCCTTGGGTCTTAACTGCTCATCATGTATTCTGTTGCCTTATTTTCTTGCCCAAATGCATCACCTCACATCAATCCAGATTGAGCAATTATTTTTATCATCTGCAAACCAACTGATTGAACCTTCTCTGTTCGAGTCTAAATAATTTATATGAAGCACAAAAAGCAAGGGCCCCAACACTAACCTCTGAGACACCCCACTGGACCTCCAGTCCATAAGAACATAAGATAGAATTAGGTCATTCTGCACGTCAAGTCTGCTCTGGCATTTGATCATGGCTGATCTGTTTCTCAACTCCGTTCTCCTGCCCTATTCCCCAAACCTTTGATCCCTTACCAATCAAGAACCTATCTATCTCTGTCTTAAATACACTAGATGACTTGGCCTCCATATCCTTCTGTGGCAATGAGTTCTATAAATTTGCCAACTCTAGCTGAAGAAAATCCTCCTTATCTCAGCCCTAAAGGATCATCCCTTCACCCTGAGGCTGTACACTTGGATCCTAGTCTTTCCTGCTAGTGGAAACATCCTTTTCCACATCTACCCTTTCCAGTCCTCTCAATGTTCTATAAGTTTCAATGAGATCTCACCATCATCCTCCTAAACTCCATCAAGTACAGATCCAGAGTCCTCAACCACTCCTCATATGACAAGCCATTCATTCTGGGGATCATTCTTGTAAACCTCCTCTCGACCCCCTCCAAGGCCAGCACATCCCTCCTTTGATTCAGGGCCCAAAACTGCTTGAAATATTCCAAGTAAGACCTGACAAGGGCCTTACACAGCCATAGCAGTACGTCACCAGTCTTGTATTCTAGCAAACTTGAAATGAATGCTGATATTGCATTTGGCTTCCTAACTACCAACTGAACCTTAAGAGAATCCTGAACTAGGTCTCTTAAGTCCCTTTGTGCTTCAACTTTCCAAAGCCTTTCCCAATTTAGAAAATAGACTGTGCCTCTATTCTTCTTACCCAAGTGCATAACCTCATGCTTTCCCACATTGTATTCCATCTGCCAGCTCTGTCCAAGTCCTTCTGCAGTCTCCCTGCCTCCTCAATACTACCTGTCCCACTACCTATCTTTGTGTCATTGGCAAGTTTAGCAACAGTGCCCTCAGTTCCTTCTGACAGGTAATTAATGTACACCATGAATATTTGTGGTCCCAACACTGATCCCTGCTGCACACACATACTGTCAGCCTGAAAATGTCCCCAGACCCCAACTCTGTCTTCTGTTAGCCAACCCTCTGCCCTTGCAGTTATATTACCTGCATCACCATGGGCTATTACAGTACCTTATTAAGCCGTCTAATGTGGTAACCTCAAACAGTGCAGGGATTGGACAAATGCTGTTGGTATCAGTTTGCATCACAAAACAGTTGTCCACCCAGCTGAGCTGACTGACCTCATGTAAAGTTCTGACCTTATTTAAGAAAGGACATAACTGCATTAGAAGCAGTTCAGAGAACATCACTTGACAAATAATTGGAATGAGGGGTTAACCTATGAGAAAGTTTGGACAGTTGGGAAAGTACCCATTGGGCTTTAGAAGAATAAGGTGGTGAACTTGTTGAAATGTACAAGATGCTAAGGGGGCCTTAACAACGTGGATGGGAAAAGGGTGTTTCCCCTTCAGAAACTAGAAGTAAGGGCCACAGTTTGAAAATAAGGGATTTTCCATTTCAGAACAAAATGAGATCTTTTTTTCTTTGAGAGTTGTTATTTTATGGAATTTGTCCTGATTCGTTGGGGTAATTCACTGGAAATCACTATCAGCCATGATGATAATCATATCAGAGCAGTCTTGAAGGACTGAATGGTTTACTCCTCCTGCTCTGATTTTCCATCTCTATTACCTTTCAAATGTGAAAAGATTCAAAGTGCCCAATTTACCTTACCAATAAAATCAGGTTAAACAAAAACACTTGCAGGTTTCTGGACTTAACAAGAAAATAATTTTATGTTGAACAAATTGTCTTTATCAATGGTAATTAGGAAATATGAATTGGATAACTTAAAATTGTACTACTTAAACTCGATCCCTTCTTAAATTCTCCTTTATCAGACAGACATTGATAAAGAATATATGCATATTAAGGGTAACAAAAGTAACATAGTTAGGGAAACACAGTTCAATAGCATCAATCTGGGCTACAAGATTCAATGAGTTACTTTCTTTCACTTCCTTTCAATTCTTTTTAAGCTTTTTTTTTGCCAATGAGGTAAGATTGTTTGCACATCGATGTTGGCTGTCTCACTGGTTGAGAATTCATCCTTTCACACTCTCCGAAAGCCTTTGATTCCTCCTCCAATAGGGGATTTACAGAGAAAGACGTGTGGAAAACCACCAACTGTTACTGCAGACTTTCTAATAACTCCAAACAGTAGATCAAGAATTTTAAATGTTTTCCCTTTGCAGGCTTGGTGGTTCTTTGCTGTACTGACCCCATGTAAGCCATAATCTCTCAATCAGGCATCAGAGTGTTGTTATCAAACAATTTTCCTTTAGTTTGTCTCCACGGTGTCTGCCTTTCCTGTCTTTGTTCCAGGAGAAGGCAACATTATACTGTATACAACTCAGTGTGCTCCAGTAAAGATGTTTTTATTTAACTCTTTGCACAGTCTCATTGGCTCAAAGCAGTATCTTCCTCCTTTAGTCCACATTTAAAAGTAAACAAAGTAAAACCAATTTAGTGCCTGTGCCATTGAATAATATCGAAAAAGGTAGATTCTTGACTAATGAAGGATTCAAAGGGTATAGGAAACAGCATGAAGATAGTAGCTATCATCAGATCAGCATCTTATCATCTGGTAAAGCAGGCTCAAGGCACTGAATAGCCTGTTTTTTGAAATATTTGATACTTCAAGTAGATAAATCTCCTGGGCTTGATCTCCATTCCAGTGTTTTAAAAGATATGGCTGTAGGGAAAAATACACTGATGGTCATCTGTCAAAATTCTGTCAACTTGGAGTGGTTTCTGCAGCTTAGGAGCATTGCAAATCTTAAGAAAGAAGGGAGAGAGAAAACTAGTAATTACAGACCTGTTAGTTTAACATCAGTCACAAGAAAAATGCTATAATTTATCATAGAAAATTCAAAAACAGGACCAAGTGTAGGCCATTCAACCCCGAGAGCCTGCTCTGTCATTGGATATGATGATGGCTAATCGTCCTACTGAGTACTCCATATCCTTCGATCCCTTTAGCTCTAAGAACTATATCTCCTTCTCGAAAGCATTCGATGTTTTGGTCTCAGTTGCTTTCTGTGGCAGAGAACTCCACAGGCTCACCACTTGTGAAGAAATTTCTCCTCATCTCAGTCCTAAATGACCTACCCCATATCCTTAGATATGATTCTAGATTCCCAAACATCAAGAACATCCCTCCTGTGTTTAGTCTGTGTAGTTCTGTTAGAAGATGAAAGATTATCATAAAGGTGTGATAATAGGACACTTAGAAATATTGGTAGGATTGAGCAAAGTCAACATGAAAGGGAAATTATTTTCAACAAATCACCTTGGTGTTTTGAGAATATACCTAATAGAAATGATTAGGCAGAACCAGTTCATACTTCAATTTTCAGAACTCTTGAAATAAGGTTTTGCACAAGAGGTAAGTAAATATTAGAGCACATGGAGAAACGTGCTGATGTGCATTGTAAACTGTTAACGAACAGGAAATATTAGGAATAAAAATATTCCAGTGTGTGTGATCTGAACGGTCTAATAGTAACAGCAGCTGGGATTATCCCACAATACTGGCTACATTGACTTTCCAATGAAAGAATAAAAATTGATCAGCCATGTAAATACAAGAGTAAGCCAGTGGCTGGAAATTCTGCAATGAATAACTTGCCTCCTAATTCCCCAAAGTCAACCTTCCATCTACAAGGCATGAATCAAGAATGAGATGGAATACTCTGCACTTGTCTGAATGAGCTCCAAAAACACTCGAAGCTTGACATCATCCAGGACAAAGCAATCTATTTGGCACCCCGTTTAGCAGCTCCAACTTTTACTTCCTGTACAAGCGATGCTCAGTTGCAGCAGTTATATACCATCTACAAGATGCACTGCAGAAATGCACCAAGGCTCCTTAGACATAAGAACATAAGAACTAGGAGCAGGAGTAGGCCGTCCAGCCCTTCGAGCCTGCTCCGCCATTCAATAAGATCATGGCTGATCTTTTCGTGGACTCAGATCCACTTACCTGCATTCTCAC